ATTGCCTCTTGTTCAGACATTTGTGCACCAACAGTATCCCTACTGGCTGCCCAACTTCCAGAATGGACTGGTGTGGTCACTCCCGTTTGCAGCCAAACTCATCACACACGTCCTACTATCCGTCATAGGACTGTGCACTGAGGTAACAAACATTTCACAAGCCCTTTCGAAATTCGACCCCCTGACTGCCAAAAGGTACCTCGTTTGGTAATATTTCACGACAACATTTTAAGGCCCCTTCTCGAGAAATTTTACTAGTGCAAGATTTACTGAAGCTCAAATTTATTTGCTCTTCCCGTCAGAAAAAAAATATTGGTCATATATTAAAATTTTGTTCAAGGTCTGTTTTCGTCCTATGCCGCTAAAAAATTTAGAGAGTAGGGCGTCCAAAGTGCTTTCAGATAACGAACAGTGCATAATGGGGTTGTGATGTTGCCTTAGTTTTTCGCCTTCTGGCAGATGGTAAAATATATTGAGGCGATCGAAAAAACAATCAGATTAACCAAATTCTCCCCCTAAATCGGAGAATTTGGTAAATCCGATAAAAAAGATTCCAAATTCGTATCTAAAATTGCAATAATGATATTCCAGGAGGAGTTGTCTAAGGCGGGTGCCGTCGATGATTCGTTACTCAATAAGGCGAAAGCAGTGAGCAAGATGGCCAACTACTACGACAAAGTGGCTGAGGACAACGACCTAGCTGTAAAAATGAAGGGTAAATTCATGAAGGATCGAAGTAATTTCTATCTCTGAAAAGTAGGTGTCATTAACATTAGGTGTAAAATTAACAAAACGATTTATTTTGATACAAGGAACATTAACTACCCAAAAATCTTAACAGAAGTCATCACTATAATATAATTCAATCGAAAAAGGCACAAAAAATAACCACTCAAAAAAGAGCTTGTCATAAAACACTTTGCATAGTTTGGATGTTTGTAATCTTTCTCGTGGTGACAAATGTCTTTTTGTATAAGATGAGATCCAACTCCATATTTGTAGTGACAGTCATTATTGTTTCTGCAGGTCTGAGTGACAATGAGCAGTTGAGGAAGGACATTCTGACGGGGGAGGAGGACAGTAAGGAGGCGAAGGAGTTGCAGGCGGGACGCAGACTCTCCTTCCGGGAGGCGAAGAAGCTGGACACTGAGAACGAGCAGATGCCCACCAATGACACCAGTCAGTTCGGTTAAATTCTACTCACCACACTTGTAAAACCATTAGAATGCACGGGGAGATTACAAACAATCAGCATGCTTAGGACAGTGACAAAATGTCGTTAGAGTTAAGCTTTTGTAATTAATGTAAAATAAGTAATGGGGTAGTTGGGACTCTTATATGGGTCTTTGTGATTTTTTGGATTTTTTTTAACTATTTATTCAAATTTGTTCGCTCAATTTTGATTTTTCGCGGTTTGACTTTTGATTTTTTTTTAGCTCAGTTCCTTTACTTTGTTAAAAAGAAAACCAACTCCATAATTGAGCAGCGAAAATGTTAAGGTCCCAAAAATTTGATTGACTTCTAGTTTAAGATCATTTATCCACGAGGGATAGGACCAACATACGAGCTGTATAGCTCATCACGGCGAACCGCTGTTGTGCCCCTGCTTAAGAACTACATGCAATTTTTTTGTTTTTTTTTTCTGAGCTGGGTAATGTTGCCTGACCCTCAAGCAACGAGCAAGGATCATCACGGGCCTCGAACATCCGACCTTTCGATTGAGAGGCGGAGACGTAACCACTTCATCATGCTCCCCTAGTTTCAAAAATAAAATTTAATTTTGCGATTTTCCAGCGAAATGAAATTTCTAATTAATGATCCAGCTTTCTCAAATTGGCTTATTTTTATCAAAAAGGTGCCAATCATGAAATGTTCGAAAAAGCAAATAGCCTTAAAAGCATCAATTTTTTCTTTGAAAACTTGAGAGTTGAGATTTTTTCAAAAACAAGTCAGTACTTTTTTTCTGTTATTTTGCGTTTATTGACGATTTTTCAATTGTCTATTGGCTTTGATTTAATGTTACTCCAACTGTTTGCTGTTTTGTTATCAGTAAAATTTTTGAAGAAGCTCTTGTAATTACTGAAGTGCATTCAAATCTGGTAATGCTTTTTTTGAATGCACTTAGGGATATACACAGTTTTTGAGTTCAATACAATATCATCAGCTAAAAGGTAGGCGTATTGCTATCTCCAAAATTTTTTTCAAAAGTATAGACTCTCTGAGTTCAAATTTAGAATAGATATTTTACCTCCAACCATTTTTTCGAATTTCTGTTGGCTCAAAAATTGCCAATTTGACCATCTTCTGTTCTATTTTTGGTCACTATGAAGATTTTATATAAGATGCGAAAAGCGTAAGGAAATTCATACGTGGTGAATTGTCCCGGTCCAAAAATAATCTGCTCGTATCAGGGCAAAGCATGAAAATTTTTGACTGATTTTATATCCAACTTAGAAGTGTTTGCTCAAGCAAACGTAGCAAAATGATTAAATTAGAAAAAAATGAAAAAAAAATATTGTTGAATTTATCAAACCAAATCCCGACACGCAATAAAAAAATGACATATTTCGCATAGACCAAATTAAGTACCTCTATTCATTTTGGATTGATTAAATTTCCGTTTATGAGTTATTAGCACGAAATATATCACGCTTCAATTATCCCAAATTGCCAAATCGGCAACTTTTAAATCCCCATATATTTAAGTACAATAATCACAGAAGAAATATATTTTTAATTTCGTATTTAAGATACAATAAATTCTAGGTTGATTACAGAAAAAAGTCTGCTAGTTAAAAATTGGAAACGTTTTTGGAGAACAAAACTACCACGCGCACAAATACTAGTACTCCATCTCTTTTTTCGAAAAACGTAATAAAAATGGTTGCATTTGTTCACGTTTATATTAACGACAAGACTCCTCGTATCAGGGCAAAACCCTCATGGTTTTGGCTGCATTTTAATTGGTCTGGAATAGTTTTTGGTAAATTAGGTATTGGCAAAATTGTGAGTTTAAGGCAGATCATATCAACATCAAGTGGTACAATTTGAGTCTTGGATGGAATTAGTAAAACCAAATAGCTGCCTCAATTCAATTTGGAAAGATTTTGCAGTGCGGGATATTTCGCCAGGCACGCGTTTGATTTTTAAAACAAGCAGTTTAGACATACTGGTGGCAGGTTACTATAGTAGTGTGCTCACCCGGCTGAGCCCATGCTACGAGGGACCAGAGTTTTGTAAAGTTGGTCTGAATAACAAAAACCATCCGGAGGATATATATTATTTATTTTCTTCAAAAATTGTAACAATAACAGTTTTGCTCGGTGAATAACCAATATTACAAAACTGTTTTAAATTGAATTGAGGCAAGCTAATCGATCGTATTCATTTCGTACGACTCAAAATTACGCCCTTGATGTTTGATATTGTCCAAAACTTATCGTTTTTCTAATTTTTTCTTAGTGAAAAACTATTCAATACCAATTCGTTAAGTTAGGAATAAACGAAACCTCCTCGGACCTGATATACGAGTAGTCTTGTTTTTACATTAAATCATTTGTATTTTGCTGTAGCTTTTGTTCTTTTTTAACAAAATCCCGTTTTTAGCCTAGACCATTTAACGGTTGTCACAGGTAAATAATGAAACAAGCAGTCGGGGTCTATGAGCATTTTGGAGCGATCAGTCAAAAGATTTCAGGATTAGAATTTGCTTCGTTTACATCAGAGAACTTGTATTACAAGCCCTAGAATCCAGGGGCTGATTTCAAACTTTCTTCAAGGGAATTAATCTTTGAAGGCGGATTAGAATTTAATTACTGAAAAAACAGGCCAAAAGGGACGTTTTCAGGCACTTTTTGAAAGGTATTTAAAAAAATTTTCGCCGCACGCTCCCCATCAAAAACATAATATATTGGCGTCAAAGGCGCTTTTAAAAAATTTTAAGGCCGGCCGAAATTGGATGTGTTACAATATTACCAAAGAGTTAATCATTTGGATGGTCTGGGGGTCGAATCCCGAGAAAAGGAGAGCGTCCCCCCGCTCTGGAATCTGCATTGTCAAGGATGTATATTTTCATGGCCGAAGGATAAAATGCCGAGAAAGTTTTTGTTGATTTCGCCCTATTTTTGAAATAGCTGAACTCTGGTTGTCTGATGTGATTACCGGGGATTGCGGTCTGTATTCAGACAACCGCGTTTTCGTAATTGCTAGTAAGCAGGCAAATACTATATTGACCAATCAGAATCGAGATGAGAAATCAAACTTGAGAAATAAATACTAATTAATTATTATTTTTTCCTTGTCTCGATTCTGATTGGTTAATAAAGTATTTGTCTGCTTTCTGACGAGTATGAAGACGCGGTTGTCTAACGGATTATCGGTAATTTGGTCTTTCGGGTACCCGGAATTCGCTCCCCTTTGTCTTTAGGTTCCGTGTCTTCGTCTGATGCTGACTCCACTCGCTCTAACGGCAAAAAGAGGAAGAGGGTGAGGAGAAGGAAGAGCAAAGCGGACACTTCCTCCGCATCAGGGGACACGTGAACAAACGCGTAAAAAACTGACCTTCATTTTAGACATCATGTAGGGCTTGCTCAAATGATTTTCCACATTGGATTATTTTTAACGGATACAAATAAAGTTTAAGTAATATAAAATTCTCAAATTAGGGCTGGGTTTTCAAGGTTGATTACAAATTAAGTCATAAAATGAGTTAGCTTCTAGTGTTATTTGATAATTTTTGATGTCAGAAGTTTATTATATGGTTCGCCTACCACAAGCTGACACCAAAGTATTTGTAAAAAAGGATAGAAACGGTTTTTTTCTTAAAGTAGAGTTATCAAAATGTAGCATTGATAAATTGCAATGATTCATTATGTTAATTATATTTATTCAGTTGATTTGAAAAAACTGCGGCAATCCTAATAACCAATTGGATAATGCTCAACCTTTCTTATGAGGTCTCGCAGGGGTAGATTTGGTAAAATAGTACCTCTCGGGATGCGAATGTTTTCCTTTTCAGGAATTTGAACCATTGATCACCCTATTAGCCCCCTTTGATACTATTTTACGACATCCCTCTTTGGACCGCTCCGTAAAAACGTATGTTTTTGGACAAAGTTTTCCAAAAAAAACAAATAACGGAATTTTTGGCCATTTTTTTTAACAATCAAAATCAGGGATTCGACCCCATGCCAATCCAAAAATGTCTCCCTTTGTACTAATTTGAAATATCCATTTTTGGCTGGCTGACCCTATAATTTTTCGAAAGGCGCCTTGGGCGCCAAAATTTAATAATTTGAGGGGGAACCGCGCGCCGAAAAAACGCAAATTTTTTGGTAAAAATGCTCCAAAAAAGTGCTAAAAATGCTATTTTCGCCAGTTTCTGAAAATTTTGTCTGCGGCGCAGAACTTTTGGCTAAAACAGGGTTTCTTTAGTACTTTGGGAGAGCTCGGAAAATCATTTCATTCCACATAAAAAAATTGACGAAACTTCCGAAATTTTTTGAAAGTCTGCACCCCCTTGAGAAAATCTTAGATTCACCCCTGCACCAGTATAGTTTTCTCACTGTTTTTGTCATAAATACTAAAATTAGCTGTTAATTTCAGCAGATGAACCCTATAAGTTATTTCGTTTGATGGACTCCGTGTTTTTTTTTGGTGCATTAAATCCAATTTTAAGAAAATAAAGAGTAACAGGACTGTTCATATATCAGTGCAAATGTTTTTGGCAAATGAAAAATTGCAAAAATATGAAATTTGGTTAAGAGTATCAAGTATGAGAACTTCAACTCTGAGCACTCAAAAAACGCCTTAATGAGGTACTTCAAAAATGTATTTAAAAAAACAGGAAAATTTTGATTAGAAAATTGCTATTTTTGAGCTCACTTACCAATAAATCAATTGTGTAATGGCGCTCACGGCGTCATTGGAAAAACTTCAGAGTCGGTCTTTCATTAACAGATGTGGTAAAAAGTATCACAGGGGAACCTTTTGGGCGGCGAGTGGGTGGATTAGATTAAATGGTTTTTTTCTACTAACAAATGCAATCATAACAAAACTTCTCAATTAAACGAAAGAAAAAAAGAGATTCCACTGCCACTTAAAATCCAATGAGTAAATCATATTTGTAAAAAACTTAAAAAATAATTGTTTACATAAAACGAATTGTTGTTCAAAATACCTCTTACAGGCAATGTTAATAACAAGACTGCTCGTATATTAAGG